TCTAGAGTAGTATCACATATTCGAAGGCCTATCGATCTAAGCTATACATGATTTGTACACCCTGTGTAATCGTAGCAGGACTCGATATGGATCATACAGTGAAATGTTAATAATCTCTTAGGATTCTTTAGACATTTCCATTCTCGCGTGAACCCTGTAGAAAACCCTACCCACTTCAGTGCTTGACAGAAGAGTTGATTCCGACCCCGAGGAGATTCATTGAGAAGATTTCCTGTTCGGAAGTAAATGAACTGGTTCGAGACTATTGAATGCACCAAGAGCCCATATTCTTTTAGGGACAGTGGTGAGAGATTTGCCTAAACTTCGGAGATTCCCAGTCATCCATCATGAAGTGATGACACCCACAGTTGGGATCAGAAGGAAGGCGGAATAGAGATTCAATATGCCCATACGAGAAGAGAACCCTAGGAAACTAACCGAAGGAAACCAACGCCGATTCCAGACAAAGATACGAGGCAGACCGAGGTAGCCAGTACATGAAACCCGGGAATTGTCTTTTCCTCGTACTCGTCACGATAATTCACCCATAAAATAATACAATTTAGTGAGTTAGTGGCTACACTACTCACGCTATGTGTTAGGTAAATCATCATTTCCCGTTGCCAGTTACACGAATAAGGCAGATCCCCGCATCTCTAATGAGAGAATTTTAGCCATCTGCCCTTGTGAGCCTCTCTTTCCGCAGTTTCATTCCAAACCGTTCTCAAATCTCTCCAGGCCGGAGAGTGAAGCCTTTCCCAGTGTAAAAGGTAACTTAGTAGGAATGGCTTGCATCTTATGGCCTTTTCCAATACTCGTACTCCTACCTTGATTACCAGGACTACATCATAGGGATGTAGGCCGACATTCAGACAACCAGTACCCGAGGCACGGGAAAATTTATGTCTAATACGATCAGGACAGAAATGTCCAGGGTTAACCATCGTCTCTCATTGCTTTGCATTCCTTTCCGTGTAGGAAAACCATGCCACCGAAGAAGCGTAACCAATCCACAAGCAAGAAACCTGCTCTCTTATTCGATGAAGCTACGTTCCAAGTTGCAGTCTCAGCAGCCGTAGCAGCTGTCATGGCTCACCTGAATGCTAACACCGCTAATGTTAGCAAGGGCCCTGTCGGGATTTCCAATCCTGGCGATAGACAGCAGCAGCCAACACTTCCACACTCAGCCACCCGAGAACCTCCACCGAATCCACTAAAGAGAAAACTCAAGATTGAGGAGGGAAGTACCTCGGCTCAAGGACCCTCCGAAGGACAACGAGCTGAGGTAGTCTATACCCCTGTCAATCCTTCCTTCCCGACCTCAAGAAGACCATACCTAGGAGACCTTCCCCACTGCAGCAAGTGCAGCTACCATCATCATGGTGCCTGCCGGGAACTCTATTGTGCTAGGTGCCACATGTTGGGGCATACTGCTCGCGTCTGCAGAACCCCAGTTGAGTTCATTACATCAACCACCAATGTGGCGACCCGTACAGTTTGCCACCTATGTGGTAAAATGGGACACTTCAAGAGGGACTGCCCAACCGAAAAGAAAGACAAAAACATAGAAGGACCTGACACTACTGCTTAGGGAGAAGCGGCAAGGAAACTCGTTAGATTTTGGTACATCTCTCGATCTCGGATAACTAAACTAAGAACAATAAAAGACTAATACAAATATAAATTCCTTCCAGTAAGGCGAAAGTCGCAGCACTGTTATAAAATTTAAAATTCATTAGATAAAACTATAATGGCTAAACATATACGTTACGACCATGTATATTTAAGATGGACAGACCTAGAGTGAGCGAATGCCGCCTCATTTCCTGTTCCTCGTTTGGTTGTGGATTAAGGGCGGGGTCGCTCAGTCAACAGTCCTCCCCACCTTAAATATACATGACTAGTATATGTGAGGCGATTATAGAAATGCCTTGTGAGAATCCGTTCATGAAAAGATGCTCTATTCGGAAACACTTAGAACTCTCTATAGTTCCGCGTCGACTCTATTGGTCCAAGTATCCGCGGTAGTGATACATAGGACGAAACCCCGAGACGCCTAGAACTTGTGTGCCTGTTCGGCACATGACTCTATCAATCTTCACTTTATATCATGTCGAAGTGTGCCAACTTCGACGACTCTATTGATCATGGTTTGACTTCGTGCAACCATGTGTACGCCCTTAGTGTTGTGCAAAAAGAACTTTCTCCATAACCATGTAAACATAAAGGTTCTCCTGAACCTAAACCTAACACAAATAATCAAACCTAATGCGACCCGTCAATCGTCCTTCTTATCTCAAACTTTCTGAAGTACCCAAGGGAGGGTACCATGTACTGTGGACCGACCTCTCGTAGTCAGATAAACACCGAAGCGGAAGACACTGCAGATACCTCAGAAAACGACAACCACCCGAGGCATACCCCTTAGATTCCCCCGGGAGACCCTTTGCACCTCGCACTTCAGGTTCGTGAACCCAGAGAATAGAACTCCGGAGGCTGACCACTATAACCAGGTATACTGCTGGCATCCATCAAGTATTGACGGTTAAGCCAAGCATGAGTTCTACCACGAACCTCTTCGCAAAACGCTTTCACTCTATTCCATAACATAGGAGCCGGAGTCAAGAGAACCACTGCGGGATGAACTAGTAAAGTCCCAAGTGATGAAGACCCTATACCCACTAGATTTGACCTCGACCGAGAAAACTCAGAACCTTTGGGAGAGTAGTTGCAGTAGATGCTCGCACTACTCATGCACCTCGTCCACCCAGTTATAGACAAGTGGTGCTTATCATCCTCCACCCTCTCGCATGGAGGAATTCGACCTCGCCCAGTAGACGATAAAATGCATTCTCTGAAGTGAACACTAGGATACCGAGAACCACGGGATAACCTTCACAGCCAAGAATACTTGGTAAAGTGCGAACGTAGTTGCGTTAAGCCTCATACCCTGATCCCGAAGAGGTTATAGACTTGACACCAGTCCTGGTGTTAGTCGAAGGGTTATGCAGGAGCATGCACTTTCCAAACTAAAATAAACCACAGTCTTAGAGCTTCCTTAGACTAATAGGTGTTCCACAAATACTATCTCACGCAGAGACAGTAGAACCACCTCCCGAGATAGTCCAACACTTGTTGGGTGAAACCCTATCTCCCCGACCCTCAGGGTTTCTGTATCTCAAGGTTCGTTAGTGCAGGTCCATGTTGCACAAGCTTGAGATAGACACTCTACATCAAACCGATAACCATAGTCACGCAACCCACTCGACGATCTAGAAAGCCTCTATCAGCCAGTTGGCAGAAAACACGAAATTGAATACCACTTGAGATTCCTAAGAACCAACCTGAGGGACTACACTACCAATACGAGAGAGAACGTTAGGAACTTTGGAATGGCGATCACGCCAGTGATGATCTTGCCATAGAAGTACACTATGTTCTAAGTACTGAAAA